CTTCCACCGTGCCCTGCAAACATGTCGCAGCCTCAATACGCGGCTTTGGCGTTTACGAACGAGTGTTCCGTAAGTCTGATAATTTCGCGACTGTGCCTCGTTTGTTGATCCTCACCTGGTTCGCTATTAGTTTTGTGGCGGGTATACGAACCTCAAAGTAGAACCTAAATTGCGAGTCCGGTTATGCGAACCCTGCCGAGCATCGGAGTGAGTCTTATGTCTAGTTCACGGGTGAAACGCAGAATAACGCTTGCAATTTCCATCCAGGCTGGTCGAGGTGTTCAGCTTCAAGGCCAACGAGGATCTAGATCTGATACGGCACCTGTCGTTGACTCTCAGTATGCCCGAGTGGTCATTGTGCTCCTCACTCCTGACCCTCTCGTACAGGAGGTCCTACGGTCTCTAGCAAAGGTACGGGGGACGGTGGGTTGCCGAGAAGTTCGGGTCACAACGCACTCTGCCTCCGTCGGGACCTTCAGAACTTTTGCGATACCCGTGAGCGATTTCTAAGGTCGGGAGACGAGAATGGATTGAAACGCTGGGAACGGGAACTAAGCGATCTGGTCGGTGTACATGACCAGGTGAGTGTATTGACGGTGCAGCGTAAAAACCGCTCACCCGTTGGCTAGTTTGCGGAAATGTTACAGCGGTTCCTACTCTACCCCGAGCTAACGCCGATGCAAAAGGCGTGGCAAAAAGCAGGCGAACGAGTCGACAGGATACCGAATGTTGACGAGTCTGTGTTTTTCAACAATTATGACACGGACGTGGAAGGCCAAGTCTCGGATGAAGACGACGAAGATACCGAGCAGGATGACACCGACCGACGCTACTTCTTCCATGCGCAGCTCCAGAGAGTAAAGCCGCTAGCACATCCATTCAGGACCGTTCTCGAGGCACTCGGAGTCAAAATAGACCCGCTCCACGCTGTCTTCGGGCCAGGTCCTTCTACCCCGCGTCCATCCAAGGAAATCGAGGACTATCCCTTTCCAACTACCGCTACCGTACTCAGTTGGCCTTGTCTCTCAACTTTCCGCGAGCTGAAGTCGTTTCAAATATCCAATTATTTCTGGGACGAGCTAGGACATATTGTTCATCATGTCGAGGCGTGGCGGGAGAACGGAGAGCAGGAACTGGTCGAGTGGTGGAAGTCGGGGATGGAGCCAACAGCCGAACTGGCTAATCCCATCGTCAAGGTACGCCTTTCTTTCAACTCATCCAGTCCTCCCATGCTTAGTTATTTTTAGGTTCGCAGAAGCACTGCTGCAACTTCGAGTTTGCTACCTAACCTTCGCTTCCTCCTTCGCGCCGACACCATTTTCTCCTGCCAAGGACCTGGGGCTCCGGGAGGGCAAGGCGCTCACTTGCACTACCCTCATTTTTACCAAAATCCGAACGATTGTCCTTGCCATGGGTTCCCAAGAAGCATGAACTCGATACGCATGTATCGTCATTTGGAAGCCGAAAGAATCACGAAAGTACTTCTCCGCGATCTTGGAATACCGGATATTGCGTATATCCAGTTGTTGTTGATGGGTGCATCTTTGGTGTGCGGTAGATGCGGCGATTATCAGCCCAGAACGTGGGACCAGATCGTATGTTTCTGTCTCGTCATGTTTTATCGTGTCTAACAGGCAAACAATCATCGTCAGATTGACCATTATCGCGAAGCGAGTCAAATGTGGACCGGATTCCAAAGTCGCACGCCTGAATTCAAGACTAGACATCCGCTCAAATTCGTCGACGTGCACGACCTTTACTCTGTCTCCGCCCCTAAACCGTTCGTCCGACGATTGACAAAGGAGGAGGTGACCAGCCTAACGAAATCGCCTCCGTTGGACGTTCACAAGGGGTTCTGCTGCATTCTTTGTCGCAACTACGGAGTACGCCACGTTTTCAAAAACCTGGTCTCGATCTGGGCGCACATGAACGACGTGTAAGTGAAGCGACATGATGGTGGCGCCTTTGGTCTGCTAACTTTGCTTGATAGTCACGGCATCGTGAATCCTGTCGTTGGCTTACACTATGCTTCGGGTGCATTGGGTGCAAGTTTCAGCAGCTGGGGACAGAAGTGGCGTGATTCCTGGGATTCACATCAAGCGGCTCGCGAATGGGATTTGTGATTCAAGCCGAGCAGACTGCTTCTCACTAATCGGCTGTTGGTGTGCGACTGTGTATTTTATGAAAGTAACTCAGTGTATGGATGTGTCTAAGTCAGAGATATGTGCTGCTCGCAAAGATTATGCGATTTGCTCAGGATCCTCCAGCCTCGTGAGGTTCACTGAAGGGCTGAAGTAGAGATGGGTTCCAATAATGTGACTTGGTAGCTCTCACCGCTACACCGGGAGGAAAGATACATCCATTTGTCTCCGCCACTTCGTTTTCGCCTCCTCAATACGCGTTATCCATCCACGTGAAAAGAGTCACCAGGGGCATTGGTGATTTAGTATCAATGCTGGAGAATCTTGAAGGCCTGAATGCTAGCCATGCTGATCCCTGCAGGCGTTTAGAAGTGACGGGCAAAACTCTACTAATATGCACGGCCCAATCATTGCGATTCGTGAGAGCCATTATTTCCCAAAACGAATACTGCTAATGCCCCAGGGGGTAATCAATAGAAAGAGACATCATAAACAGGGTGCGAGTAGTGAATTACAAATAATTGGGCGTCGTCTCCGTTGGTTTATCAAGCAGAGGTCTCGTGACTTACACTATATGCGTTGTGACTGTATGCGTGATCACATGAGACTAGGTGCTCAACCAAGCCTTGTATACGATAAATAAATATGGAACTCGTCTATATGCCTGCATAGCCTCTACACGCAATGACCTAGGCTATATTCCAAATACCAACCAGAAGCAATCGTTGGACCATGAGTGAAACCATGTCTGAGGAACCAGGGCACAAAGAAGTAAAGCAAGGTGGATCCGAACCAAATGTTGACCATCACCGAAGCGAGATTGAAATGCATCAAAGTTCAAGACAGTAATTGCCCTAGTGGTACATTAATGTAGCTAGAACATGCCACTTGAGGACGACATGTAGGGTGCCACGAATGCAGCTGAGGTTGACCCGCAGGCACTTGTGGCACACACTCCCGATGTTCGCGTGATAGTCCCCTTCACGAGCCACTCCAAAGCATCTAAAAATATTAGGCCTCAACCGCGAATTGAACGCGGGACCTCGCCCATGTGAATTTAACTCCCTAAGGGCGAATCATACCACTAGACCATCAAGGCTTGGCTGAGTCCCTTTAGTTGTGTCTGTGTTCCGCCGGCTTCGCCCTGACGATCCAGGTGTCGTGAATCCAGTCCTTGGCTTGCACCACACCTCACTTCAGGTGCATATTTCAGCAGTTGGGGACAGGAGTGGCCTGACTCTTGGGAGGCACATCAAGCAGCTTGCAAGTGGGATTTGTGATTCCGGGCGAATAGACACCCCTTCACTAATTAGTTGTTGTTGTATGACTGTGTATTTTATGAGGGTGACCCGGTCTATGTATGTGTATAAGCCAGAGATATGGGTACTGTACGCATAGGTTGTAGGATACTCCAACCTCGCAAACCCCACGGAATGGCTGAAATAGAGAAGGGTTTCAAACGACGTCGCTTGCCGGCCCTCACGCCAGATCATAAGGAAGAACACATTCATTGTATCTGCCACGTCGTTCTCGCCCCCACAACACGCTTTGTCCACCTGGATAAAACCAATGGCATGAATGAGTTTCTAGTGTTGCTCAACCATTTCGAACTCAAATGCCGGCCATGCTGATCCCCCTGGGTGTTTATAGGGACGCGTGAAACTGTGCGAGATGTAGAAAACAACTATGTATATTAAATGCGTATATAAAAGAGTGTGGAGTAAGAGAGAAGAGAGAGATGGGGTACGAGAGGGCTCGCAAGTGCCCCTATTTATACCCTACAAATCGCTCCGAATCATATATAGAGAGTGCTGCGCATATACTGCGCATACACACTTGACTCGATTACATTCCAGACGTCAATAATCTAGAAACCTCATGTACATACAAGAATGTTATAGAACGTACTAAAATGTAATCGAGTCAAGTGTATATGTGCCGTATATGCCCAGCACTCTATGTGTATGACTCGGAGCGTTTTGTAGGGTATAAATAGGGGCTCTTGCGGGCCCTCTCGTACCCCATCTTTTCTTTAACATTCACACTCGTTTAAAATCACTTTATATGCTCCTTAATCTACATCTTTGTGTTTCAACAGATAAGATATATGGCGAACAGGGCGTGAGCCAGTAAATGTATTTAGGTCATCTGGACTGATTTATCAAGCAATTAGTCATGTGATAGCTCTCTCCAGAAATCCTTTAGTTTCGTGTGACCGGTTGTCACCAGGTTCGCCCGCCTGCATTCATCGAACGTCCCCAGGTTCAGGCATTGAATCATCAAACGCCTTGCTTCAATGTTGGCCAAGCCCAGCTCCAGTGGCCGGCTGCACCCTTTGAAATGGAGAAGAGGAATTCTTGAGCGAATGTCTATAGCAGTTACACAAACGAACCAATTGCTCCCTTTTCCCGGGGACCTATCAACTATGTTGAATCCAGGCAGCGACCCATGTTCCGGTGTCTTTATGACCCCTTCCAGCAAGAGTCATCCAAAGCGTTCATTCGTTGTGACTATATGCACGATCGCCTTAAACTAGATGCTCAACCATGCCTCGCATGCAATACAGAAATTTGGAACTTTTCTATATGCCTAAAGTAGGCGCCATTAGGAGTCATCCCACGTGACTCCATCACGTGA